CACCCACCCCACCTAGAACGTGACACCCGGACCCAGTGGGATGGACTGGGGGGCCCCAGCAGCTGGCGGCTCCTGTGTGGGCCTCTCCACTGGCCACAGGCTGTCAGGAACACCCGAGAATGTGTCTCAGGTCCAATATTGATTATCTGAGGGTGGATCCAACAATTGGAATTTATTTATAAAAGAGATGTATTTATTCTTACATGTGCAAACTTCAGTCATCTTGAAAGTACTCTCTGCTGGATGCAGCACAACCACCAAGACCTTTCCACTGCTCAGACCTGCTTTTCACTCGTTGATTCTGATGCCTTTTAGTGCTGCTGTCGTTTTTTGTGTCACTTCTCCCACATCAGCAAAACACGACACTTTTAGGAACTTTTCCACCCAGGGAAACAAAAAAGTTGCTTGGGGAGAGATCGGGTAAACAGGAAGGGTGGAGCACGGGGCTCATGCGGTTTTTGGTCAAACACGGTGGGCGCTCAAATGGCTCTGACCTCTTCCGGAAATACACAAGGGCCCCGAGAGGAACCGAGAACAAACGCGGTTTCCAGTCCTTGTTCACGGTGGCTGAGCTGGGGCACAGCCAACATGCTCATTAACGGGAGGGGCTGGTCAGCTGGTTGGGGACCATTCACGTAACAGAACACAAGGCAGCCACTGGCCACCCCAGCACGAACACCATGAAAACACATCACAGCTTGTTACGTCAAAGGAGCAAAATCTGTGACTCCCCCAGTCACATCTGGGAAGGGACAGACACCAAGAGCTCAGTAGCCGGCTCCCTTCACTCTTCCTTCTGGTCTTACCCTCTCTTCAGTAACCCAGTACCCCCCCACTGCAGTGCCTTATCCCAGTGTCTCCGATTCCAGGTGAGTCCCCGGGGGCAGGGACGGGCTCCTCCAGCGTCAGCTCTGGCTCCGTTATGAGCAACACCGCGGAGGTGAAAAGGGATCTGCTAACTGATGTGGCAGGGAGCTGCACACTTAAGGTCAACAACCAGTTGGACAAGGAGCTAAAACCACTGCCTGTGGAGCAGATTCTCAGGCGTGCACAGAGGATGGTTGGCAAGAAGATGCCGTATGATATTGCCACTAACAATTGTGAGCACTTTGTCACCAAACTGAGATATGGTGTGCCCAGATCCCTGCAGGTAAGACCCTCTCTGGGGTGGTCCCTTTCCCTCCTGGAGGTCTCGTCAGGTGGGGGGCGACCAGGCGGTGCACCCAGAGGGAATAGTTACCCTGAAAGATGCAAAAGCGGGCTCTGGGGGATCCCCTCTAGCAGGGAGGCAGGACATCTGAGAGCCCTTCTCAGATCTGCTTCTAATCTTCCCAGGGTCTTTGCACAGGCCACTCCTCTCTGGGCCTCGGTTTCCCCCATTTGTAGAAGAAGAGGTGGTTGGAGGACATCTGGGGCACTGGCCAGCTCTGTCTCTTCAGGGTCCTTCACCTGCAAGACCCCATTAAAGGCAGCCCCTGGGGGTCAGGGAACATCTGGGCCCACCCAGCTCCATGGCAGGTCACCTTTTCTAAGGCCCCAGAGAGCACTGGGGCAGGAGGTGCCCAGTCAGTGGGCCCACATGCCAGATCAAGGACACCTTTGTGTCCCACCTGGTCACAGCTTTAACCCTTCCCCCTCCCTCTCTTCCGTGTGTTGTCCCAACACACCCAGCTAGTGAGGGGCAGGAGCAGGATTCAAACCCCAGTTGCCCTGCTCTTCACTGCTGAACCACAGCACCCCCAGGAATGGGGGCCCCAAGACTGGGTGGGTGGGGGCCTGGGAGAGAGTGGGGACAGGAAGGGCAGGTGTGCAGGGGGTAAGGGTTCCATGCTGAGGTAGGGTGTGTGTGGCCAGTCGGAGGTCCAGGCGAGCATGTTGAGCAGCAGATGGACATGTGAGTCTGGAGGTCAAGGCTGAGGGGGCCTGGAGGGCCAAGTTTGCAGGCTGCACTTGTGAACAGTCCACAGTGTGGCCATGGTTTCCCCAGGGTCTCCCTCAGCCTCTCCCACAAGCATCTCCCTGCAGGGGCGGCCCCAGGAGAGCCCAGACCACACAGCCGTTCCCACCTTGACCCCAGAGCTCTGGGCCCAGGACCCCAGGCACAAAGCCTCCTCCCCCACCCACCCAGGCCGGGAACACACGGCCTCCCCAGGGAGTGCACACAGAGGACTCCATCAGCCCCCTCCTGCCGGTGGGCAGGACAAATCCAGACAAGCCCACACTGAGAAGTGGTCACCACTTCTGTTTCCCCAGGGAATGGGGCCAACATCCTGTGTGGGAGAGGACCCTGGGTTCGCCTTGGGAGGGAGGGAGGACCTGCCTGGCTGGGCCTTGGGTTCTGACATGGGCTGCCCACTTTCAGGTTGAAAATGTTGTGATTGGAGCAGAGCTGGTGTCAGCCTTAGGTGCGGCTGCTATTGGAGCAGCCGCCCTTGCTAATTCTATAATGAGGAACTGATCCCCACACCAGTGACAGCCTGAAGAAGCCACAGGATCCTGCCCTCGAAGTCACTGAGCAGTGGAGCGCGCCAACCTCCCTTGTCTCCCCTGACCCCGGCTCCCGGGCAGCCCCCAGTTCTGTCCCTCGCTCTCCCTCTCACTGACTGAAGGATGGAATAATTGTACCAAGGCCTAGAATGAATAAATGTATCTGCCTTTCCCTTCACAGAGGAATTCCACTGTGTGTTGTGTAGACTTCTAAACCATATGGGAGGAGGTTCAGCGCCTGTTGGGGACACCAGCAAGGGCTGGCCATGTGGCCCTGGGTGACGCTCCTGACTCCCAGGCCTCAGGTCCTTCTCTCCCAGATGGGCCAGGGGTCCCTGTCCCAGTGACAGCGTGAGGGTCGGGTGAGACTGTGGGTGGGAGACCCCTGTCCCTGTCTGGTCTGCAGCAGGAGCTCAGAGGACCGTCCCCGAGGGTCTGTACAGACCGACCCTTGTTCCCACTGGACATTACTCCTTTCACTCTCAGGGGGCAGAACACGAACACGAGATTCTCCCCACACCACCATCCCCCCGTGGAGTCCCGCCCTCTGGTACCTGGGGCCCCTCACAAGGCATGACCCTCCCCCAGTGACCTCCCTCAGGCAGCCCCCCTGGTAGAAAGTGCTGCTTTTCTCTTTGAACTCAGGGGCCTCCTCCTCACCACCTGTGATAGCAGAGGGAATGCTCTCATCTCTGGGCGCCCCCCTTGCCGAGGCTCCAGCTGCCCCCGGGGGAATGCTGAAGACCCCCACCCCCCACACTGAGGGCAGGACACCTCTCTGTGGGACACTGGGATGGGGGGTGCCTTGGGGTCACAATTGGCCCAAACTCGTAGAATGCGCAACAGCGAGAGTGGCCCCTGAGGTAGACTAAGGACCTGGCTTATGATGCTGTGTCACTGCAGGCTCAGCGACTGTGACAACAGTGTCCCCTCCGGGGGCTGTGGACAGCGGGGGAGGCTGTGCATGAGTGGGGTCGGGGGGACAGGACATCTCTGTACCTTCCCTTGGTTTTTCTGTGAGCCTAGAACTGCTCTAAAAAGTAAGTCTTTTTAATAAGGTAACAGAAATGATATATTTGACTTTACAAAAATTTGGTTTTCTTTATGGCAAAATATTCTCATTATTCTCTTGTGTATTCCCAAATACTCACTCAGTTTCTTTGATCAGATCTACTCAATCATTTAAAAATATTCCCTTTCTCCTCATAATATGATTCATATGTCCAATCGCTTCGTTCATATAAATATATATTAAATATACCTATTTTATAATCTGTGTCCAATAATGCCAATATGGAAAGGTTTTGTGAGTCCCATTCCACTCTGTTTTTCTCCTACCGTCTCTCTCAGTGGCTTGTTTCTTGTTTTGGTTTCCTTTTGCCTGTTAGCTTTTACATTTTTGATGTGATCATGTATTTCTTGAACTTTTCTGAGAAAGTTCTCCTGTAGAGAAGACTTACATTTGCATCAGCAGCTGTCAAAGGGACCACATTCATTTTATCATAATGATTATTATTTATCTCTAAAGAAGGACTTTTTTTCCATTGCTTTCAGCGAGAGGGGAGGGAGAGAGGGAAGGAGAGAGAGAAAAATCAAAGCGAGGGAAAAGCAGTGACCTGCTGCCTCCTTCCTGCGCCTGGACCGGGACTGTGTGCATCCCAGCTGGGGAGCCTCACACGCCCCAGCCAGGAAGTGATCCCACAACCTGGGGTGTGGCCAGACAGGGAATGAAACCCACCACATTTTGGTTATAGAATGAGATTCCATCCAACTGAGCTTACCAGTTGGGGCAGCACAGTCATTTTAGACGACGTATTTTTTTTTCTTTTTAAAAATGTCTATGGAATTTATGGGGGTGACGCTGGTCAATAAAATTATATCGGTTTCAGGTGTACCGTTCTACAACACATCATCTGTGTGTTGCATTGTCTGTTCACCACCCAACATCATCTCCTACTGTTACAGGGTGCAGCCAAGAGGGGGCCCCAAATAGGGATTTGTAATGGGGTCCAGAACTCAGGGTGTCCAAGAAATATTAGAAAAATATATATATGATGTCCTCACCCTCCACCAGTCTGAGCTGAGGGATGGGACACATGGAGCAGGGCCATGGAGAGCTGTTTTGTACAGCAACAGCTTTGCAGCTAACCTCTGGCGTGGTCATTTACAATATCTGTAACCTTTAGCTGGTTTCACAGATATGTTAAACAGCTGTGGCCATGCTTTGAGCCAGGGAGATGGAAGTGAGTTCTACCCAAGATGTAACTGGGAGGCAACTGCCCCCTGGTTATAGAGCCTGTGTGACAGCTTGCAGATGATTGTCTCCACACCACACGACCATGCCTGCCCCGGGACTTACTATGGCAGCCCAGTAAAGCTGGAGGAATGAGGGAATGTTGGCAGGTGTGACTGGTTGTGGGAGGAGTCAGAAATGGGGCTGCAGAGGAAGATTAGGGTGGGCATTTAAACCCAGGGTCAGCAGCCATACAAGAGGGACCACACAGCTTTGGCAGAGTAGGTTAGGACCATGAACCATTGGGGTGCTCATTTTTCCACGTGGCTTAGGCAGCAGGAGAGACTTTGCCTGGAAGAAAGGGGAGAAAGGACTCTTGCTGGTGGGCCATGAGAAGGTGCCACATGGCTCTGGATTAACTGGAGATTGTGGTGGCGACACAGGGGGTGGTGCCGGAACTGAGGGGCTGCAGTAACCACAGACCTCTGCTTCTTTGCCTGAGATACTGTACCCTGGACTGGGCAAAGGGGAGAAGAAAGAACTGTGTGGATCTCTGGGTATTCTACAGAATTTTGGTAATTTAGTGAAGACATTAAGTCATTACTCTAAGTCTGTATAACTTTTTAAATAAAGAATTCCTTCCCTTTTCACCAATCTCTGGCATTGAGAGATGTCTTTCCTCTGGCAGTGGTCAAAGCGAAGCTAGTAGATAGGGGGAACCCTTGTTGAAAAGGGGGGATCCTTCTGGTAATAGTATATTGTTCACTCCACCCGGATCTCTTCTGTAACACTACCATCACCATTTATCCCCCTTTACCCTCTCTTTACCTTCCCCCCCCTCCCTTCCCCTCTGGTCACCACCCTCTGCACCCAGCCCTGCCCAGCCTTTCCCCTCTGACAGCGGTCAGTCTGTTCTCTCTGTGGGCGTCAGATTCTACTTTGTTTGTGTTGCTCATTACATTCCACATGTGAGTGAAATCGTGGTATTTGTTTCCTCTGACCAGCTCATCTCACTTGGCTTAATGCTCTGCAGGACCATCCATGCTGTCCCAAAAGGGAAGATTTCTTTCTTTTTTTATTCCCAGTTGGTATTCCATTGTGCAAATATACCACAGCTTTTTATCTACTCATCTACTGATGGGCACTGGGGCTGTTTCTAAAACTCAGCTATTCTGAATAACATTGCGATGAACATAGAGGTGCAAAAACATAAATCTTTTAAAAATTAACCACCTCAGGCCTCGCCAGGTGGCTCAGTGGGTTGCAGGGTAGTCCCATCACCAAGAGGTCTTGGGTTTGATTCCTGAGCAAGGCATGTCCCTAGGTTGTGATTTTGATCCCCGGTCCAGGCATGTACAGGAGGCAATTGATTGATGTTTCTGTCTCACATCAATGTTTCTCTTTCTCCCCCTCCCTTTCTCTCACTCTTAAAAACAAAATCAATAAATATATGCTCGGACAAGGATTAAGAAAAAAATTCACCATGCAGAATTACCCTCTGCTACTTCCTAGCCCTGGGTGGGGTCTCAGAAGCGCCGGGTCCCCAAGTTCTCCCCCTTCCTCCCAATCCTCTGCCACCAGTGACCCTACTGAGTGGCCAGTCCATCTGGCTATTGTCTATAGCCACCACCACAGCCACCACCACTCTGACTTGGGAATTCGGGCGTCACCTCCCCTGGCTGTACCTGCCCACACAGGAGGAAGCTGGCGGGCCCTTGACCCCCTCCCTGCAAGAGAGACCAGGCTGGACCCTCGCACAGGGCTCCCCTGGAGGCTCAGGCTCTCAGAGGCTGAGGGACAAGCGAGGAACCCGTCCACGCTGCTACCAAAGGGGGGCCCTGTGCCCACTCCCAGGCTGAGATGTCAGCCTCCATGTGGGGGTTCCAGAAGGGCCCGTGCTTGGCTGGTTGCTGCCAGGCTCCCTCCAGCTCAGGGGCCCAGCTCTGTGAGGCCCAACAAGCAGGAGGCTGAGTCGCAGGAGGAGGCTTCTCACCTGGTGCAGTCTAAGGCTCCCCCCAACAGGAGAGGGAGCTTGGGGGTCAGATCCTGTGAGTGTGGTGACCTCCAGCCTCTAATTCCAGGGAGCAAATCTCCCCTGGGACAAGACCCAGGCTGTCAGCAGCTCTGGAGGGACCAAAGGTCAGTGCCAGCTCCACCCCACCCCCAAGTGCCCCAGTAGCAGGGGTGCTGAATGGTGGAGGTCGTTCACCCATTACCCCCTCCAAGTGAACCTGCCTCTGAGGTCAAGCCTAAGATGCATCGGCAGAGCTGATTGGCCTAGTGAGGTCACCTGACCCATCAGCTATCAGTTACCACCCTGAGCCAGGCTGCAGTGAGCTGAGCCAGTCAGAGTCTCTCTCAGGAACTTGAACAGGGACCAGGCACTGCAGGCCTTGCAGGGACATGCAGCTGAGCTGTTGTAGGAGGACAAGGCCCAGCATGGTGGGGGCCATAATGGTACTGATTGTTTCTGGAACTGAGAGACACAGAGTAACAGGAGGAACGGCGAGCCTCAGTCACAGGGTCTGGGTCACGTGCATGGCCAAGACTCTTCCTCTCAGTTCCAGCTGCTGAGGTCCTGGCCCCTGGCAGGGCAGTGCTTCCTGGTCTTGTCCACCCCAGGTGTGTCTGCCCGGCCCCTCCTGCATCCTCAGGCCATAAAAAGAGCATTCACCCCTCCCCCCGCCCACAGAGATACCTGAGAAAAGCACTGAATGGCCCCAGGGCTCGGAGCAGGCAAGCAGGCTGCCCCACTGCCCTTGGCATCATCGGGTATAGGATGAGCTGTGGAAGGGCCTGGCCACCCTGCCTGGCTTCAACCTCAAAGACAGGGCAGACCTGAGCTTGGGGGACTATGAAGCATCCCTGGGAGCTGGCTTTCTCCTTTCTAAACCAGAGGACATGAGTTCTTCTCATGGACCATGGGCGTTCAGATGTCCCTGCAA